GTAATTTACGTTAAAATATTGAAACTTTCAAACCTTAATAATTCAAAAAGTTCTTAATAAAAAAATACTTTATTATAGTGTTTTGGAAAGCTCTCGAGGTTAGCTACAAGAATATGTAATGAAAAATAGGGGTTCCAATTTAAAAAAAACAAGTTGACCTTGAAATGACCTTGAAGGTCAAGATCAAGGTCAAATTCAAGGTCACCATCGGATAGCCAGGGAAAAATCCTAAAACTTTTGTATTTACCATTTTTCAAAAAAATTCAATCCAGACGAGTTATCCGAAGGTTTCCATACATTTGACTCACCCTGTAGAAATATTACACAGTGATATAACAGTAATATTGCTGCAATATATCAGATCCAAAGTAGCGCAAGATGATGTCAAATCACTTTTTAATTACGTTTCATTACGTTTTATTACGTCATTAAGATGCCATAAAGATGTCACTTAATGTCACGTTGCTATTTGACGCTTTCCAATGTATATCGCATTGAAGTATGAATAAAATATTATGAGGGTAATTTGTAATGTGACGATAAATCTTTAAGAATAACTACAAAAACGCACTATTAAACAATTATTGGAGAGATTATACAGCCCGTGACCATCTTTTCTGTAGGGCCATCATGCCCGGATTTACCTTAAGCCCGCTGCAGACGATGCTATTTTTTCTGCTGGATTGCTTGCAATCTAATAAATTACTATCGTTGCACCATTCAGCACTCAGGATTCCTAGTAATTTAATAAATCGCAAGCAGTTTATGAATATAAAACAGTGATTATTATATAATGTATGTGTTGAGAACTAAGTTTAATTTAACTTTATTAAGGTAAACATGTACTGATCGGGCAGTCTCCATATTTGTTCTTTTTGAATCTTTTTGTTCCCGTTTAAGTGACAGATGTCGCTGATTATTGTATCCTCTTTAGTTTCTTTAGCACTTTTGATTTCCTTCGTACAGCGAGTTGGTACTACTGTTTTTCTATACATATGTCCTTGATATATGTATATTGCCTTTTTGGTGTGTGTGGTGTTCAGTTGCCCGTGCAGAGTTCTCGCACTCTGTGCGTACTATAATAAAGGAAGTTACTCGCAAAAGACTAACTTTATTGACTCGAGATCTCCTGCGTGTAGTATATGTATGTATACAGAAATCAACAGTATGTATTTTTATTTTTAAAATAATAAGAGGAATGATGCCTAGACAATTAGTTAATAAAATAGAAATAGTAGGGGATGTGAGTAACAGACAAACAACCCAGATAGCACAAGTGATCCATATGAACTCAAAAAGAATTCACTTTTTAAAATTCTTTATGAATTACTTCGATCTATTCCAAATGAACTCAAATGTAGTTCTTTCCGGTAGTTCAAAAAGGACTCCATAGAAGTATACCTTTTGACTTCTTATAGGATCAAATTAAAGTATTCTGAAGGAAGTCCTTTTCCTGTTCATAATGGGTTCGAATAGAATTCCTTTTTGGTGTACTCAATACACAATTGTCCCCTCTATCATCGCACATCTGGCGGCTGAAAATCGAAGTAGTTCCGTTTGGGACGTCGATCGTGCGAAACGTCTTCTAACCTAGAAGGACATTTTTTGATCGAGTGAAACGCCGGTCGCCGGCGTGGCTCTCAGGTTTATCTCTGAGAGAGATATTAGAGAACATTGATAATACATACGTAAGTATAGATTATCAATTTATTATCATTTGCATTTTTAATATATACTATAATACAAAAATTCATACAGCATGTACTTGTACTTTTTAGGTTATATTGAAACATTTGCTATTACATTATTGTATGTGCTCTGGAACTGTTCAGTTATTTCGAGACACTTCTGGCAGAGGACGAGGAATGTGGGCAGTGCTTTCGACAATTTCGCAGCTTGTGCACGATCCATATTTTAGTGCCGATGGAGGGTATTATCGGCGACAGTGCCAAAAGTATACAAAGTATTGTCGACCGCGACACGAACGTTGCGCGGAAGTACGGATACGCGGGAGGTCTTCGATGGAATGCGATCAGTGCCGCGGAAATATTCGAGCCTGTGCTCGCTTACTGGGAAAAGCGCGTGGACACCGACAAGAGCATGCTCGAGCGTTTGCTTGACACTGGCGTCTTGCTGGAACTAATGAATTTGTACACATGAACAGAGATGAATTTTACTCCACGCACGTGTCGGTTAAGTGCAAGTCGTGCCTGGGCAAACTCTGTACAGTTAAGAGGGACTTGTACAACGCCGCAGTGATGAAATGCAGATTCATCAGTCTAGTATGTAAAGCCAACGGCACACGATACTATTTTTCCCACTGGATTGCTTACGAGAGCCAATCAGGACGCAGAGTTTTCGATCAGGTGACTCAAAGCTGAATCCTGGTTGGCTCTCGTAAGGAATCCAGTAGGAAAAATAGTAACGTGTGCCGTTGGCTTAAGTTTCCCGTTAAAACTCTGCCGGCGAAAGCGTGCGCTGTTACTAGGAAAATTATGAAGCGGAATGTCGAGTGGGTCATTCGTGAAATGAAGGAATCCGAATGTAAGCGCTGGAGACAATCGTGGAACACGTGTCGCAATTTAACTTACAACGTAGGCGTACTGTCTGAATATGTGTACGAGGAAAGCGTGTGTTTACTGTTTGTTCACCTTCTTGTGCAGTTGCATCTCTCGACTCGACGGAGTCGAACCGAGCCCTACAGATTCTGAGAGCTTCAGGTATCTTGAGAATATTATCTCTTTCGTGCTGGACAGATTGAGCGTTGTATATTAGCAATAATTTGTATAGGAAAGCTGCGATGTGCGCATTGAATGCCTTGTTAACGTATAACCAGTTAAACACAAAAGCTTTTCGTAGATGGGTGCACATTAAGAAAATTACGCCCAAAGAAGTCGCAAGCTTAGCTATGCTGGACTGCTTGACCAGTGATGAAGATGAGATAAAGAGCGAACTTGGACTTTCAATCGATATCTCTAAATACGACGTTACTTCGTTGTGTCTGCGTAAAGTCAAAAGTTTACTGGAGGAACAGGTCGCATTTGCAAATGGCGTGGCAGCGGTTCTGGAAAAATTGAGGCAGCTACAGCCGAGTGATCAATATGTACACACGATGCAGTTATTAGGGTATTATTTCTTAGATTTCAATTACGAGAGCTCTATTCTGGAGTACTACGAGCAAGCTATACATAATTTGAAGCAGAAAAAGTCGATCTCCGTAGCTGTTCTGTGCTTGGAAGCTAATTTAAGTCTTTTTACCTTTTGCCCATTCTACACCTAGGGATGATCCTACTTTTACCACATCCGATACCCCTTCTATACCTAAAGCTAATCCTACTTGCAGCTTATCCGAGGGAGTAGTATAAAGTGTAAAAGGGTACACTGTAGTTGTACTTTGGTACGATTGGAAACCAACCAAAGTGTAAACCTTTTACACTTTATACTACTCCCTCGGATAAGCTGCAAGTAGGATTAGCTTTAGGTATAGAAAGGGTATCGTATGAGCCACAAGTAGGATCATCCCTAGGTGTAGAATGGGCATTTGCAGAGAACTTGCGAGTTGGAAATAGAAAGTACAACGTTTGCTTTGTGCGCTCCCAAGCTACGAGATCTAGTCGAGAACAAATCTCCAAATGTAGTTCCTGCTTACACTATGATAAATGTAAATAATTGGAAAAAAGTAAAGTAAAGTAAAGTGTGCAAATTAGAAATTTGCATATTGCTTCTTCATCATTGAAGCGTGCAAAGTGGAAATTTGCACATTTCTTCCTCATCACTACGCACATTAGAAATTTGCACATTGCTTCTATTGTTATGGCTTCTTCATAGAGGAAGCTTTAAGAGAGAAATCTAACTTTACTACGATGTTTCTTGAAAGTATTCAAATTATTTCAAGAAACATCGAAAAAAATTAGATTTCGCTCCTAACCTTCCTCTATGAGGAAGCCATGTGCAAATTTCTAATTTGCACACTTTACTTTACTTTACTTTTTTCCAATTATATATTATATTGTTCTTCAGTTTTTCAAACCAAATTTCATATATAATTCATTAAAATATGATTAATTAGTTCCTGAGTTATAGACATTTGAAATTTTTAGAAGTCATTATTAAAGAAACTTTGCGATAGTTACACCAACCAGAGACATTTCTAAAAAAAATTAATATTAGGACTTTTTGTTAATACTAATGTATACATTTCACCAATACATTTTGTAGCATCACTTTTGAAACACCCAGTATAATGAAAAAGTGTTCATGTACGGATTCCGCCAAATTTCAAACATCTATAACTCAAAAACTAATCAAAC